CCTGCATTGCCCCAATATCCCATCTGAGGAATCCCGGCAAGGTAGTCAAGCTCAGGCACTCTGCACACATTCTTCTGGCCACTTTCTAGGCTTGTTGGGGTCGCCGCCCGAATTAGGCTTAGAGGGGTCGCCGCCCGAATCAGGCTGTGCAATTGTCTCTGGTACCATGGGTTGGAACGATTTTTTGCAGGCGTGGGAACGCGTGACCTCTGAAGAGTCCTTTGTGGAGCGTGTGACTGCTGCTTTTTCCAGGGCCACGAACTCGCCTGCGGTCAAAGGCTCGTCTGAGTTCCGTCGGAGGAAAGCTGTCCTCTTGGTGGTCATCCGTGCGCTGGTGCAGCTTCTCATCGGTACTCAGCAGCAGTCTGGGGCCATACGGCTGGTCCGAACTCGAGAAAGAGAGCTCGAGGGCACGGAGGCATTGCCATATCATCCTTACGCTACGTTCGTCGAGGATACCCTGGAAGAGGTCAGAGGAGTGCTTCAGGCACCTTCGCCGGAGCCTGAGATACCGGCTCCGAGGACTCCTCCTGTCGCAGTGCGTTCCAGATCTCCGCCTCGTTCCTTGGTTGAGGGTTCTGACCAAACTCCGGTACCTCCTAGACCGCGACCGAAACATAAGGGTGATCGAACCCCTGCACCTCCTAGGGCACGACCTAAACATAAGGGTAATAGAACCCCGGTTCCTCCCAAGGCAAGTACCTTGCCCGGAACACCAGGTCCGTCACGTGCACCGGAGGCTGCAGCAGATCTTCTTGTGTATCGTCCCAAAGCAAAGGCCCGGCCCGAGTCCAGACCACCGCAGGACTGGGAGTTGGACGAAAGAGAGTATCCAACCATAGCGGATTCGTTCAGGGAACAGGTTGAATTGGGACAACACTCAGATAGAGAAGCCATAAACCGGTGGACTACTGAAGAGTGGAGAGAGCATAATCAGGCGCTCTCATCTTCTTCTTCTGCCGCGCCGCGTGTTGCACCTTTGGAAGTGGTCGAAGTGCGTGAGGACATCCCTGTCCTGATTTCATTGGATTTCAGCGGGGTGCTCAACATCCACTTTCAGGACAGCCGAGATTTTTTGGACCGTTTGAACGCAGAGCGTCCGAGCCACGTGAAGCTGAAGTTTATTTGCACGAGTTACTCTGGGACAGAACGGGCCAAAGAAACGCGTCAGTCGATGGCTTCGGAGCTTCCGGGCGTGCCAGTCTACATCACTAGCTCTCCAACGGGCCGTCCTGGAAAAGGAGCCTTCATTAAGCGTTTGATGGACCGGCGGTCGGATCACTTTGCGTGTCATTTGGATGACAGATCAGACATCGTGCGGGACGTCGAGGCGTATGGTGTTCACGAATATTTTGGTATCGCCGAATACGTGGCTGACTGATCTCGTGCCCACTGTGTTGTTGTGGCTGCGGTCCCTGTAAAACGCTAAAAGAGAGGTGCTGACCTTCAGGGGAACCTGGGGTTTCTATTGCCTGGCACCATGGCGATGAGTCCCGAAACTACTGATTCCTCGCTCCAGGTGTCCACTTCCAGCACGCCGCCTACACAACAGGCGCGGGCACTCAGTGCTGTAAGGGCACAAGAAGCAAGGGTAGGAGAGAGCAGTAGTGATTCCACTCCCGTAAGAGCCGTTTCAACCGGAAGGGGAAGGTCCTCTCAACCCTATGCCTTAGCTAGTTCCCGAAATCGCTCTTCCTCCGCTAGGATGCAAGCTTTGTTGCCTCCGCCAGCTTATGCATGTGAAGTTGCAAGTCCTGCACCAGCAAGTCAACCTGTTTCGCTTGCACCGGGCGATGGGACAACCACCCCGGATGTGCACTTGCATCAGCATGTTCAGCGCATTGCCCCAGAGTTGCACCTGCATCAGAGTCGTCAGGAATTGCATCTTCATGGGGTTGATTCCCGAACACATTCTCAGGCCGTTGCTGCTGCACAGCTGGCACAAGCGCAAGCACAAAACATTCAACAGGACGCTCAGGTGTTTGCCCAGAACGTTCAGCATGAAGCTCAGGCATACGTGCAGGTTGCAAAGAGTGAGGCTCAGGCATATGTTCAGAGCGCTGTCACTTCTGCTCAACATGAAGCCATGCAGCACGCACAAGAGTATGCAGAGCGCGTTAGGGCTGAAGCTGAGAGACAGGTCCAGAGTGTTTCAGAACAAGCCGGTCAGCATCTTGCACAAGCAAACGAAACCATTGCCTCACTTCAGGCTAGGAATCGTGAGCTTGAGGAGCAGCAGGAAGAAATGATGCAGCGGATTGCGATGATCCAAGCTGAGACGCAAAGCATCAAAGCTCAACAACAGTCCCAAGCCGACACGTCCCACCTTCACGCAGAGCGAGTGTCGCAGGCCTCAAGGGCTCAGGACCAAAATGGCACGGAGATCAGTGAAGCCCTCAAGGCCTTGGCTGCAAGTGTTGGTGAGACAATGAAGGAGTTGCGAGAAATCGTCAGTCCCAAAGCATCCAAGCCTAAAAGCAAAGCGAAAGGTTCGGGGCTCCGAAACGGGACACCCTCCCCTAAGCATAAGAGTCCAAAGGTCTCAGCGACTCAAGGTCAAAGATCTGCTGGTGTGGCTGCTGCGCCTGTTCCAAATCGGTTTGGATGCTTCTGCGCACCCAGGTTGCCAGTTTTCACCGGTGTTGGTTTGCCGGCTCCGTCTAGATCCAAGAAGGGTTCTTCGAGTGACAATCCCTTCAACGTCTTCTCCACTCCCAAACCTCCTTCAGTCGTGCATCCCCCAGACCCTCCGATGCACTACGACATCGGGTCCGAACACGAGGAAGGTGAGGAGGAAGAGGAGAGGGAAGATGACCCCATCATTGATGTCACCGATGCACCGGGGGAAGAAGAAGTAGACTATGAGCAGGATACTTACCACAACAAAGATCTTCGAGACCTGAAAATCCCTGCACTTCCTTCGACAGCCGCGGGATATCGAGCATGGAGGAACGGCGTTTTGACATCGTTCAGCAGCATAGACAAGAGTGGGAACGCCAGGATACTGAGATGGCTCCAGGTCGCCCTTGATCCAGCCATAGGAGACCGACAGATGCGCAATCTGCAGGTCACGTCTGACGGCCTTCCCCGCCTTGATGCATTCCTGGCTGCACAGCTTACAGATCCAAAACACCTCAAGGGAGACTACGGAGTCGCTGCCCAGGCGTTCACCGAGCGAGCACATGCGTTAGGCGTGCAGCCTTCCGGGCGTGCGCTGTTGGCAATGCTCAGCCGAAGGTTTCGGGTAGACCGGATCAGGGGGGCGACAGTCTCCCAGCAGACACTCTTAGCCATCCAGCTCGAAGGCTTCAGCCAACAACAACTGCAAGCCTTTAGAGAAAAGGTTGAGTTTTGTTTGAACGGTTTCAGTCCCGAAGCATGGCCCGCTGAGTCTACCTTGTTTAGCTGGTTATACTCCAAGCTCAAGCACTGCAGGCTTCTTTCCAGAGCAGTCGACAAGATCAAAGACTCCAATCCAGGTAGCAACAAGCGAACCTTTGCGTGGTTGTGGTCGCAGCTTGTCGAATTGCTAGATGAGCTGAGAGAAGAAGCAAACGAAGAGTCAATTCGTGACACTCTCATCAAGCCCAAAGCCAAAGCTGCTCCCGCCCCAAAGAAAGAGGAGCGTTCCCGCGATAAGCCGGACAAGCCCACTCCTGCCAATCCAGCCCCTCCGGCCAAGACCAAAGGTTCTGGGAAGGATGGGAAAGACAAGGATGGCAAGGGAAAGGGGGGTAAAGGGAGTGGTAAGGGTGCAGATTCACAGAAAACACCAAACAAGCCAAAGGCGAAATCAGGCGGTAAAGGCCAGGGCTCCAAAGCTGAAGGCAAAGCCCCAAGCAAAGGAAATGCCCCCAAAGCTACCGTACCATGCCTGTTCTTCCCAAAGGGAACGTGTAACCGGGGTGAGAATTGTCCGTTTTCGCATGAGACCTCTCCCGGTAACAAGGCCCCAGGGTCAAAGACTACTGGAGCTAGCGCTACGGCAAAGAGCTCTGCCGCAGCTGTCGCCCTGCTGCTTCCCACTACGGCGCGGGGTGCCTCGGTCGATGGTTCCTCCACACCGAGCAAGACAACCTTTTGGAAGCGTTCAGGATTGAGTAGGTTCTTCCAGTTCGTTTCGGGGTGGTTTACTGTGTTCAGCAACATCTGCGCTCCTGCCTGTCCCGCCACTGTCACTCCGTTGCTTGTAGCATCTCAGCATCAGCACCCGCAACAGGGATGGTTCTACCACGAGTGGATCGCTGATAGTGGTGCAGGTAGATCCCTAGAGAGTCGTGAAGCCCTCAATGAACAAGACATTCCTGAAGACGCTGTGGGTGCCTTTTCCACAGGGAATGGTGTCGTTGATTCAGGGCTCATGCTTGGCTTCGAGGGTTCCATTCTAGGAAACAATTCTGCATATCTCCTGGACAACTGCCCTAGTGTAAAATCACTTGGTGAGTTGGTAGAGACAAAGTCTATGCCGTTTGTATGGTTGCCAGGAAAGCTTCCGATGTTCCTGTCGAGTGTCGAACACGTTCAGGTCATTGAAGAATCCGCCATATGTGCCGATAGAGTTGAGGGAAATGTTCCAATCTTCAGGGAACAGGTCAGATTCGTCTCGCCTTCCACTGTTGCGATGCCTGGCTTCATGAGCGATGCTAGAAAGGCAAAGCCTCTTGCACGCACTACCATAGAGCCTTCACGGCACACCACGTATCGACCCTCGCCGCATATCACGGAGGAGTCTACCTTGCTTGAGTTGTTGCAGGATCCAGGGGTGCCGTCAAAGACCGCCTCCGGGTCTAGAGATCCTCCACCTGACTCTGATGACGAGCTGAAGTCTAGGGCAAAGTCCTCTTCAGCAAGAAAGCCAAAGGCTAAACCAAGTCCAAAGGACAAGGTCAAAGGTGCAAAAGCTCCTAAACCTGCTGAAGCAGCGAAGGCTCCGGAACCTCCTGCTCCAGTAGAACCCGAGGTCCCGCCACCTCCACTTCCTCCACCTGCCATTCCGCCAGGTTCTGGGTCGGACTCAGGAGAGGACGTGACATCAGAACGTCAGAAGCAACTCATCAAGGAGGCCTCTTCAATGGCACACAAGTTGACGCATATCCCTAAGAATCCCTACTGTGAGATATGTCAGCGAAGCCGCATGTATCGACAAAGAGTCACCAAGAAGCGTGCAGAGCCTCTCGAAGACAGAGGTGACTTGCCTCCTGTTGAACAGTTTGGCGAGAGGATTGCAACAGACTATATAATCCCTTCGAAGCGTGAGCATGCAGTCCATGTCATCAGGGATGAATATAGTGGTGCACTGCGAGCTTTTGTCTGTGCGCGCACAGCTGAGAGAGCAGCTCAGAACCTCCTTACCTTTGTAGGCGCCCGATACAAGCACCTCCCGAACGTGTTGTGTAAGGCTGATGATGCAAAGGAGTTAATAGCTGCCGTCTCACAAATAGGATGGGTGCATGAAGCGACCCTAGAAAACAGATTTCCACACAACGCCCAACTTGAGAGAGAGATAAGAACTCTCGAGGAATCGACTCGCGCGGTGCATTTGGCTGCTGGGTTCCATGTGGTTCCAGATCTGTGGCATGTGTCCGTGCAGTTTGCCGCGCAGACTTTGACAGTTGTACCGTGGCAGGGCAAAGACAAGTCGCGTTTCGAGGTTGCAACTGGTTCCCCATTCGAAGGCCCAAGGCTTCCCTTGGGACAGTTGGTGCATTACAGGATCCATGACCCCAGCCGCAGGCATAAGTTCGAAGCTACAACTGCTCCCGGACTATTTGCAGGTTGGAGGTTTGAGCACGGATTTGTGTATCGTGACGTGATCTGGGTGCTAGACTATGAAGCCGTCAAGTCCAAGTCGATTGGGTATAGGGACATGATCCCCGTGCCATATGCGGAAGTGCATGTCCCAGAGACTGAGACCTTCCCGCTAAAGGCCGCGGCGGATCTTGCTCTTCGCGAGTTCCAGGATCCCAAACTTGAGGCTATCACAGCGCTGGACATACCATTCAGCTCACTGTCCCCTGCTGATCCTCCTCGAAGGCGCGCAGAGTACATTACGCTTGAACGCATTCTTAAGTTCGGTGCCACACCAGGATGCAAAGCGTGCACTTTCGATTCCGTGAAGCATAGTCCTAAATGCCGAGCAAGATTCGATGCCCTGATAAAGGCTGATAGGATTGCGTTGACGTCCAAGCCCCCTGAGCCAGTTCCTCCAGCTGAGCTCCCCGAAGGCGTTGGTCTCCACCCTTCGAGTGAGCCCGCTGTAGAAGGTCTTGTTGCGAAGGTCGAGCTCGGTGTGACGCAAGTCTTTGTCGATGTCAACAGGGAAAGAGTCCGCCAAAGAAAGGTGCAAACGCTCATAGGCAAGGATGTGTTGTTCGAATATGCGTGTGGCGACAGTTCAGAGCTTTCGCAAGCTGCGTCCGAAATTGGCATCAACAGTATCCGCTTATGCCGAAGCATGATTGATTTGTCCAACGAAGAACATGTCAAACAAGTTCAAGGTCAGGTCGAAGCATCGCCAGGTTGTGATGTGTGGCTCTCATTGCCGTGCACCGAGTTCAGTCCGTGGCAGAACATGAACGTCCATAGGCATGGGGCGAAGTACGGAAAGGGTCTTCGGAATCGCCAAGAGAAGAGCAAGCTTATGTTCTTGTATGCCCGCAAGGTACTCGCAACTGCCATCGCAAATCATGGAAGGATCGCAGTCGAGTGGCCCAAAGGGTCCGGCTGGTGGGATCTCCCTGAATGGAAAGAATTTCAGGATGAACATGGTCTACACAAAGTGTCTTTTGATGGCTGCATGGCTGGAGTGAAGGGCCGAGAGCATCCAATCCGCAAGCCCTGGAGCGTAGCCACTAATGATCTGCGACTTGTTCAATTTCTTGGACAACTGCAATGTGACGGTAGCCACCAGCACGAGGCCGCCGAAGGCTCACAAACAAAGCAGACTGAAGCATACCCACGAGAGCTCGCTCACAACATCGTCGAAGCGTGGTATCCGCAACGCTACCATCGCCACATCCCCTCCATGGTCACGAAGAACTTAACAAAGCGGGAATGGAAAGCAGACCCGCGCGGAGTTGCAGCCGTGAAGAAGGAGGCAGAAGGGTTACGTTCTAACGGAACGTGGGATGATTTGACAGTCTGTCTTTTGTCTTCCTTGCATGCCGATGCAAAACGGCAAAACCGTAAACTCAAAATTGCAGAGCTTCTCACATTATGTGGGATAAAACATTTCGAACTCCCTGAGCATGAACACAAGTTCAAAGGGAGAATCGTGTACAGGGGGGACTGCATTTTTGACCAGTTCGGAAACCATGTTCTTTTTGAAGACGTGGCTACCACACCAACTTCCTTGGTTGCCCTTAACATCGCATTGTTTTTCGGCTGCCAAGATGGAAACGCAGTGAGCCTTGCAGATGCCATTCAGGCATTTCTTCAAGCTGACCTCGCTGAGGCAGGAGAGCCCGACACATGGGTTATCCTCCCCGAGGAGCTGTGGTTGGACACATGGCACAAAGCGTACCCATCAGGGTCGAAGTTGGTGGTAAGGTTGAAGCGAAGCTTATATGGCCATCCGCTTGCTGGCAAACTATGGCAGAAACACCTAGCCTCTGTTCTCACTTCCTTTGGTGGCATTGAGATGGATTTGTTTCCTTCAAACTTCATCTTTCAAATGGGTTCCCATACCCTGCTACTTAACGTGTATGTAGATGACCTAACGTTGTCGGGAGCAAAGCATCTTCATGCACAGTTTTGGAAAAGGCTGAGAGCGCATATCAAGCTGGAAGACGAATGTTACATCGAAGCCTCGAATGCACGGATCCTTGGCAGAGGTCACCGAATCCAACGAGGTAGTGACTTCACAACTCTTGTGCTTGATATGTCTGCTTTCGCAGAGCAGGTCGTCGAGGCGTACTGCGAGCTTGCTGATGTCCCAAAGGCAAAGCTCCGTAACGTCACAACCCCAAGTTTGTCCGAGGCGTTAATGTCAGATGAGGACCTGCAGCAACCCGGCACACTGAGCCATGTAGCTGCAAAGGTACTTATGAAAGCACTTTGGCTGGGTCGGTTGGCTCGCCCTGATCTGTGTTTCATAATCGGTCGGTTAGCGTCACGAGTGGCCGCGTGGACTAAATGGGAAGACAAGCAGTTACTTCGCCTGATTTCGTATCTTCACGGTACAACAGGCTTATGTTTAGCTGCTACTGTGAACCATCACGAAGCTCCCCAGATCCACATCTTCACTGACAGTGATTTCGCCTCTTGTCCGCATAGTGCAAAATCGACGAGCGGGATCTACATGACTATAGGGTCAACAGATTTCCGCTTTCCGCTGTGGTGGGCATCTAAGAAACAGACGAGTGTTGCAAGAAGCACTCCCGAGGCTGAGGCCATAGCAATGGCTTCCGCCATGTTTGGTGAGGCTTTGAACATTCAGGTCATGATGGAGCATCTCCTCGGTCGTGCTATCGACGTCGTATTCCATCAAGACAACGAGACCTTGCTCAAAGTCCTGGCTACAGGCTATTCGGCGAAGCTGAGACACTGCAATCGAGTCCACAGGGTCAACATTGCATCAATGTCTGAACAGCTAGAGTCGCCACAAGTCACTGCCGTGTACTGCAAGAGCGAATCTCAGATAGCTAATGGCCTAACAAAAGTCATTCCACCTGCAGAATGGCCACATACTCTCGCACAGTTTGGCTTGACAGCATCCAGCGATGGACCCCACCTGGAAACTGCCGTCGCCGCACTTGCAGAGGCAAATCTTGCCGCAGAAGTCTTCGCAGGCAGTTGCCCAAAGGTCCCGACTTGTCAGCATCTGGTGCAGCTACTGACGCTGTTACCTCATGGTCCTGATAAGAGGGGGGCACCGGGGCACGACTCGCATGTATTTTCTGCGGGCGCATTTGTCTTAGGAGGAGTGTTTGGCCTGCAGACAAACACACACAAATTTCAATATGCAACGGCGTTGATATGTCGATTCTTTCGACGTTATATGCCATCACACAAGTTCTCAAGCATAATCGTGCAGCAAGGTGTAGTCGCGGGGCTCCACCGAGACTCCAACAATGCAGAAGGCTCAAAGAACCTCCTTGTAGCGTTGAATCCAACAAGTGGACCCATATTGTGGGTAGAAGATGAGGAAGGGACTGTCCAATGTCCAAACGACGACAGCCTATGGGGTCACATGTTGTGTAACCCTGCACTCTTCAATCCCAGAGCACGCCACTGCACAGTCCTGACAGGATGTGAGGCTTCAGAACGAATCGTTGCCATAGCATTCCTGATCAGAAATGCCGAGCGCTTGAGTCCTTCAGACCGCGCAACACTACTGAGCGCAGGTTTCAACCTGCCCTCAATCTGCTAGTCCAGTTTCACCGTTCTGTCTCCTAAAGGGGGGAGTTAACTAAACTGGCCGCAAACCACCGTTTAGCTGTACATACCAAGTAGGGTTAGGAGAGCAGATTCGGATGACTGATTGTATTTTGGCTCAAGGAAAATAGGCGTGCCCGTTGTGCGTCTTTCCTTGTCTTAAGTACCTTTGTTGTACTTAACTGCAAAGTCAAAATGGGGGAGGGGCGGGGAGGGCGAGCCAATAAACTCAGAATTAAGCTTCACCTAACCCTAAACCCTAAACCCTAAACCCTAAACCCTAAACCCTAAACCCTAAACCCTAAACCCTAAACCCTAAACCCTAAACCCTAAACCCTAACCCCAAGTATTCCTTACTAGGTACATGGAAGTGTAGGGTAACAGCCGAAAGATTCGGCACATGTTGACCTGCGTCTGCCTTAAAACCTACGCCTTGCAAAGCCCCACGCGTACAAGATGTTGGAAGCTTCCAAATATGGGCTGTTTAGGAGTTTAGGGTTTAGGGTTTAGGGTTTAGGGTTCAGGGTTTAGGGGTCCCGGGGTTTCCGGACGGGTTGTCCCGGGGCCCCTTGGGGACATTTGTCCAGGGCCGCCCCGGGACACCCTCGCGACGCTGTCCCGGGGCCGCGGTTGACTTGTCTTAACCTGAAGGCTCCAAGGTGGTTCCTTTTCGGCTTACCTTATAGGGACTTCCGGTATACTGCCCCAAAAAGGTACTACCTAGGATCCTTTGAACAAACATATCACCACCCCACCCAAAAAAGGCAAAGTTTATCATGCAAAGGGAATGATACTTCATGCTGTGGGGCTGGAGGTGAGGCGGAGAATCTTACAGGGTGGGGCCCCCTAGTTATAAGTAGAGTTATAAGGGCCCTAAATTGGGTTATAAGGACCCTAAGTTAGGTTATAAGTCCCTTAACTACAGTTAGTATAGTAAGGGGGCCCCACCCTGTAAATTTCGGGTCCTTTGACGTGTGGTTTCCTGGTAGCCCAGTGATACCCTTTACACCATTTCTGGTTCTGGTTTCCCTTACAAAGTAACCAACCAAAAAAAAGGTGCCCTTATTATAGTATGGTTACTCGGCTACGAAGGTTTTGATGTTTTTGCTAGGCTGTTGCAGGAGTTTCACGAAAGTCCTGGCGGCCTTCCGGCCCCGTCGCGAGGTCTTGAGACGTGTTTTTGCTTGGCTATCTTGGGTTTCCGTCCGTTTTATTTGGGTTTAGGGTCTAGGGTTTAGGGTTTAGGGATTTCGATCTCATTCGCGCGGGCTATACACGAGATGCGTACGATTCCGGAACTCCCGCGAATTTGGTGTTGTTTTTGCTTCCGAAACCCTTTTTGTTCTATCCCTTTTGGGCGTTTTGTTTTGTTCTTTGGTTGAGAAGTTAGAACACTTGCAACGTGAGATGTTGAGAGACTGAACCCTAAACCCTAAACCCTAAACCGCACAGCGTTTCGTCGGCGAGGCAAGCTTGCCTTGCCGACGAAGCCTGGTGCTTTGCCGACGAAGCCCTGTGCCTTTCCGACAAAGCCTTTAGGGTTTAGAGTTTAGGGTTTAGGGTTATGACCTTAAGGACGTGAGAGAGGTTCATGGTTCAGGGTTTTGAACTTATCTAGAGTTTAGAGTGAGAGAGAGTAAATATTTGTAAGGTACGAGGTTTAGTTAGGGTTCAGGGTTTGCTGTCTGCTGAGGCCCGGCTTGGGCGAACTTTCTTGTTTGGGACTGGGATGATACCATGCCTGCTCTGTGATGTGCAGCTGAACTGGCATGGACCTGAAGACTCAAGCCCTAAGCTCTAAGCTCTTTTTCGGCTCAGAACCCTAAACCCTCAACCCTCAACCCTAAACCCTAAACCCTAGACCCGACCACGCCTCTGAGTCCACGGATTCGGTCACCAGAGTTCGTTTACCAGCTGGTTGTGGCACAAAGGTTATGGTAGGGTTTAGGGTTTAGGGTTTAGGGTTTAGGGTTTAGGGTTTAGGGTTTAGGGTTTAGGGTTCAGGGTTTAGGGTTTAGGGTCGAGGCCCTCAGGAAAGTTCATGCAACTGCTGCGAGGCACTCGTTCAAACTCGTTTTTTGTTTATCATGCTTGTTTCGGCATTCCATGGGTGGGGGGGTTCCAGGGTTGCAGAGCACTGGATGTCAACTACCCCTAACCCTAAACCCTAAACCCTAAACCCTAAACCCTAAACCCTAAACCGTAAACCCTACAACTGTCCGTCGAGCGCGAAACTTGTGCACCGCCGAGAGCGCTCCTAAACCTTAAGCTCGAAGATGGAAGGGCTTAGACTGGATGGGGGTTGTTTTCCTTTTTTATATGAAGTAGGGTATATATTTCTGTTTTTGGTGAGTGTATATAAGGTTCCTTTTTAATATTGGTGAGTGTATACCTTGGGTGTCCTTTTGGGGATACAAGAAATATAAACCCTACTTCATATGGCTTTGGGTTTGAGGATTTTGTCCCGGTCCTTTGTGGTGCTTTACTGTAGCTTTAGATCCTTAGCCTTTTTGGGTTTATTGGGTTTCCTAGTAAGGCAGCTAAAAAAACTAATTTAAACTAATTTATAGCTACCCTACTAAGTGCAGCCAAGGGTCCTAGCTAAGCAGCTGCACGCGCGTAGGAGGAAGCGGATGCAGCAGACGTCTGCGGACTCGACGCAGTGTCATCTTACAGACCAGCCGAGCCAAGAAGATGCTGCTTGCCAGTCCAAAAAAGAGGATTTAGGTTTTTTAGGGTTCAGGGTTTAGGGTTTAGGGTTAGGGTTTAGGGTTTGGCTGATTGATGAACGAATAGCTCGCTTGCTCTTACGACACATTTTTTTCTGGGGTTTAGGGGTAGAAAGGGGTTTAGGGTTTAGGGATAGGGGCTCCCAAGATCGCGTAGGGTTTGAGTTTATAGAGAACCCTAAACCCTAAACCCTTTGGGGGCTTCGGACAGGAGCTGGGGGCTGAAGTACCAATACTCGCCCCTCCTAATCCCCAGTTGCTCCTAAGGGTCCATGGACCTACGTAGTATATACTTGGGCCTTAAATTAAAGGAGTTCCTAAAGAGCAGCTTCAGGGCTCAACCCCTAGACCCTAAACCCCAAACCCTAAACCCTAAACCCTAAACCTAAACCCTAAACCCTATAAGTATACACTTTATGGGTACAGGGACCCTTAGGGTGCTAACTGGGCTGCCTACAGGGGGTTTAGGGTTTGGGGTTTAGGGTTTAGGGTTTAGGGTTTAGGTTTTAGGTTTTACGGTTTAGGGTTGACGTTCGGGGTTTTTCGATTTAGGTGCGGATGTAGGGATGGTGTGCCATGGGGTTTTTTCGGGGTTGCCAGTGAAGGTCCTCCCCCCCCCCCCCCCCGCCTCCCCCTCAACACCGCTCTCATACAGGGATCGGAATGACTTCTCATGGTACCGCATAGTCCCCATATACACAGACAATAAGTTCTCCAGAATCCTACTCTAATTCTTAAGGCCCCTATCAAACCCTAAACCCTAAAACCCTAAAACCCTAAAACCTTAAACCCTAAAACCCTAAACCCTAAACCCTAAAACCCTAAAACCCTAAACCCTAAACCTTGTCGGCAGCCAGCTCTTCTTCTTCGAAGGTGCCTCAGATCGTGGATCGCTTGGAGTGCATGGTCTTCCATGAGACTCTCGGCAGACTTTGCCACTAAGGGACCATGAGGTTGAACAAGTCAAGTTTCTGCGGCTGCTTGTGCTTAGGGTTTAGGGTTGAGGGTTTAGGGTTTGGGGTTGAGGGTTTGGGGTTTAGGGTTTAGGGTTAGGGTCTAGGGTTTAGGGTTTAGGGGTGAGTGTCTGTGTGTGTGTGTGTGTGTGTGTGTGTCTGTGTCTGTGTCTGTGTCTGTGTCTGTGTCTCTGTCTCTGTCTCTGTCTCTGTCTCTGTCTCTGTCTCTGTCTCTGTCTCTGTCTGTGTCTGTGTCTGTGTCTGTGTCTGTGTCTGTGTCTGTGTCTGTGTCTGTGTCTGTGTCTGTGTCTGTGTCTGTGTCTGTGTCTGTGGTGTGTGTGTGTGGTGTTTGTTTGTGATTCGGGATACAGGATCAAGGATCACCACGCATTCATGTCAGGTTTACGGCTACGGGCTCAGGGTGTTGTGTTTTGGTTAGGCTCCGGAGAGTGCACGACCTTCCTCCCTGATTGGTGAAGGGAAGATAAGCTCCACCTACACATGTCGTATATACTTGGCACCTTACTTAGTCCCTTAGGGAATAGACCCTAAACCCTGAACCCTACACCCGCCGCAGGGTTTAGGGTTTAGGGTGTAGGGTTTAGGGTTTAGGGTTTAGGCTTCAGGCGTTGTTCATCGGCGTTGTGCCGCATCTGCGTATTTCGCTCAGTCCCGACGTCCTTTGGCTCTTGGAGATATATGATGGAAGGTTTCAGTCCCTTGGACCCCAAATCCTTATACTCTACATACCTAAGCCCTGAAAGCAACCCAGCCCCAAATCCCTCCTCCTAGAAGCCACCAGACCAGCGGACAAGCCCCTGAACACCCTCCAGCACCTCACTCTAAACCCTCAAAACCCAAACCCCCAACCCCTAACCCTAAACCCTCACAACCTAACTCCTCAAAGCCAAGCCCTGAAACCCTAAACCCTAAACCTGCAGCGCATCTTCCTCGAACGCCGCGCCGCAAAGTATGGCAGTGGCCTGGAAGCCATTGTCAGGGAGGGCTTATAGGGTTTGTGATTTAGGTTTAGGGTTTAGGGTTTAGGGCTACGTAGGGTGTACGCCAGACGGTAAATATGGGTTAGGGTTTAGGGTTTGCTCGCCTTCGTGTCGTTTATGGGGCTGGTAAAGGGAATCAGGGTTTATTTTTTGGGGTTTAGGGTTGAGGGTTTAGGGTTTAGGGTTTAGGGTTTAGGGAACTGGAACTGAGCCTGGTTATTGAACCCGGAAGCCGCTAAGCCCCCAAACCCTAAGCCCCTAGCCCCTACACCCTAAGCCCTGAACCCCTAAGCTCTAAACTCCTAACCCCTAAACCCCAAACCCTAAACGTTTGCAGACAGGCTCGTCTCTGAAAGGCAGATTTGCGGACTGGGCCATGAGGGTACAAGGCACTAAGCCTTACACCAACTTAGCATGGTTTAGGGTTTAGGGATACTATATACACGAGGCTTCCTTCACCAAGCTTAGAAAGAACAGAACCGTAAACCCTAAACCCTAAACCGCTAAACAGATCCTAACCCCTAAACCGCTTCAAGGCCCGAAGCCATGTGATTTAGTGGCTGAATCTGCCGTTCTTTTTCGGTTTGGACTCTACCGAGGTTGTACGCTGTCAGTCAGGGAGGGGTGGAATTCAACTTAGGCTTAGGGTTTAAGGTTTTTGCGTTTTCAAAGGGAAGTTACATAGTCCCTTAGTATGGGCCCTCAAAAGGGTACCCCCTATATACCCCTTACTGTATACCAATCAAGGGCCCAAACATCAGAGCCCTTTAAATGAGGTCAGGGACCATATTCAGGGCCCATGAAACTACCCTCAGAGGTCTAGGATATTGGGGAACCCTAAACCCTAAATTCTAAACCCTAAACCCTAAACCCTAAACCCTAAACCCTAAACCCTGAAGGGTGTGGGAGCCTCATAGGGCCATAGGGCCCATCTGCCAGCATCAGTTCTCTAAGCCAAAGCCTTCATCACCTGCAAGTTCTAAGCCCTAAACCCTAAACCCTAAACTCTAAACCCTAAACCCTAAACCCTAAACCCTAAACCCTAAACCCCCAGACCCCCTTTCGCTGAAAGGGGGTCAGGGTTCTAGGGGTTAGAGGGTTTTAGGGTTCAGCATACCCCCTAAATCCTACACCCTAGACCCTAAACCCGAAACCTAAACCCCTAAACCCTAAACCCTAAACCCTAAACCTCGTCAACCCTTGCAAGCATGAGGTCGACTATCATGGCGTGCTGCCCATGGACTACCCCATGCCGGGAGTTGTCAAATAACTTGCTGTTGGGGTTTAGGGTTTAGGGTTCAGGGTTGAGGGTTGAGGGTTTAGGGTTTAGAGTTTAGGGTTTAGGGTTAAGGTTCAGGGTTTAGGGTTTAATTAGGGTTTAGGGTTCAGGGTTTAGGTTGTTTTTTTTCCCTCTGTGGATGCGGGGAGGTGGGAAGGGTTTGGGGTTTAGGGTTTAGGGTTTGGGGTTTAGGGTCAGGGTTTAGGGTTTAGGGTTGAAGGTTAAGGGTTCAGGGTTTAGGGTTTAGGGTTTTGGGGTTTCGGGCTTAGGGGTTGGGTTATGGTTAGGGTTTAGGGTTTAGGGTTTAGGGTTTAGGGTTTAGGGTTTAGGGTTTAGGGTTTAGGGTTTAGGGTGTAGGGTTTAGGGTTTAGGGTTTAGGGTTTAGGGTTTAGGGTTTAGGGTTTAGGGTTTAGGGTTTATGGTCTAGGGCAATGCCACTTGAAACCCACAGACCCCTCCTTCAACGACATTCGTACACAACTCAAGGATGCTTTGCCTGGTTTTTTTGTTTAGGGTTTAGTAAGGGTTTATGGTTTATGAGCTTGCCGCTATGGAACGTAAGCTAATTTTAAACGAGGAAACCATGATACGATATATCCAGGTTGCAATCTTGTGGTAGCTTCCTTGTTGGCGGTTAAACCCTAAACCCTGTTCTTAAGCAACTAAACCGCCATAAACAGCAACCGAATTAAAGTCCTCACGCCCTAAACCCGAAACCCTAAACCCTTAAACCCTAGACCCCAAACCTTAAACCCTTAAACCCTCAACCCTAAACCCCAAACCCGAAAACCCTAAACCCCAAACCCTAAACCCTCAACCCTAAAGCCCAAACCCTAAACCCTAAGCCCTAAACCCTAAAGCCCTAAACCCTAAAGCCCTAAAGCCCTAAAGCCCTAAAGCCCTAAATCCCAAGCCCTAAAATCCCAAACCCTAAACCCTAAACCCTAAACCCCACACCAAAAGACCCTATTGGCTCCTTCTAGCCAGGTGGCTCATCCGCGGACACGCCATCTTGCAGCTTCGGGTGGGGATTTTTGCCACACGAGTGTGATTTTTTTCACCTGGGTAGTCCCTTGGGGACTTGGGTAGGGTTTAGGGTTTAGGGTTTGGGGTTTAGGGTTTCGGGTTGAGGGTTTAGTCATCATGCGGGTGCTTCATGTTGATGCTCGCAGAGTTGTTGAGGTGGTTTGTTGGGTGTGCATTAGCATTTTCTCGTTTTTTAGGGTTTAGGGTTTAGGGTTTAGGGTTTAGGGTTTAGGGTTTAGGGTTGTTTGCAAAGTCATAGAAGCCTGGGGTGTGCAGCGAGGAGTAGATGAGTTTCAGGCGAGCTTGGAGCATCGGTATTGTCTTGAGCGTCTTGAGCTCCAAGAGGGGAAACGGAAGAGTGAAGATTGAAGAGCCCGTGGCAACATCTCTTACAGCGTATCTGGATTTCCGCCTCAAAAATCTGAAGCCCCAAGCACTAAACCCTAAAGGCTGAAATCGGAGGTTGAAAATCGAAGAGATTCCGGTGACATTCATGGCCCCAAGAGTTTCCAGGCGACCTTCGATCTTCAGTTTCCGCCAAAGAAGATCCCTAAACCCTACGGATCCCCATGCTTTCCTTTAGGGTTTAGGGTTTAGGGTTTAGGGTTTAGGGTTTAGGGTTTAGGGTTCAGGTACCTACCCCTCATGAGCTGACTTACTTAGCCAATAGCTGAACTTTCAGCTTGTTGGGTTTCCCCATTTAGTGGGAAAAACAAAGTTTGTCGTTTTTGCCCCCTTGGTTCCTGGAGAAGTAAGCTGATCGTACCCTGTATTATGATCCCTGCTACTAGCATGATTGGGGAACCATCCCAACCCCTGTCACATTCGAAGCCCGAAGCCCTAAACCCTAAAACCCTAAAACCCTAAAACCCTAAACCTAAAACCCTAAAACCCTAAAACCCTAAACCCTAAAGCCCTAAAGCCCTAAAGCCCTAAAGCCCTAAAGCCCTAAAGCCCTAAAGCCCTAAACCCTAAAACCCAGAACCTGCCAGCTTCTGAGCATGGAAGGATCCACTTCCCTGCCATGAGGAACTACAAGAAATGGGCAAGCCTCTGGGCCGGCGCTAGGGTTTAGGGTTTAGGGTTTAGGGTTTAGGGTTTAGGGTTTAGGGTTTAGGGTTTAGGGTTTAGGGTTTAGGGTTTAGGGTTTAGGGTTTAGGGTTTAGGGCTACTTGGAGGTTCATGGTACTTATTAACCAATTATAACTGTACATATAGCTGTACTGATCACCTGATTTGGGCACTTAGGGGACTTATAAGTGGGCCATAAACACGCCTACCCAGAAACCCCAATACCCCTTGATTTTAACGCTACGCGACCCGCCTCGGCCTGAGCTTCTGCAAGAAGGCAACCCCCAAAGGGGGTGGGCGGGGCGGGGGGGAGGGCGTGGGAGGGGGCATGGGGGGGTGGCCCCTATGGCAGGCTAGTGCGCCCTGGTCCTGATGCACCGTTTGCTCCGGACACTTGTCGGCTAGGGGTACCCATTTCAGGCCCAAATGTGCAAAATTTGGGGTGCAAACCTGTTGGGGAGAGGATTCGAGGTGGGGTGCCTGCTTTGTGCTACCCAGACACCTACGGCCCAAGGCCTCGGCAGATTCAGGAATATTCCTTACACCATCTACCGGACCCTCTTATACTTCAAGTAATATTCCTCAAGTAAGGGGTTTTGGAGTCTCTAGGTATTAGGGTTGCGTCGGAGTTCTGGCTCAGGGTTTGTTAGGGTTTCAAGGTCTGAGGTCTAAGCCCCAAAGCCCAAAGCCGCCTCCCCCCCCCCTCCCACCTAAGCCCTAAACCCTAAACCCCCTAAACCCCCTAAACCCCCTTAACCCCCTTAAACCCCCTAAACCCCCTAAACCCCCTAAACCCCCTAAACCCCCTAAACCCCCTAAACCCTAAACCTTAAACAGTCCACAAGACCAGACTTAATTGGGCCTCTTCGCTGTTTTCATGCATTCCGTTTACTCTTACGAAAAAAACACCTGTAGTTAAAATGTGTGGGGGGGATTCCGAAAATACGGGTATCCTTCTTGGGAGGTTCCTGTAGTAAAGAGAAATGTGTATTTTGGGGTATTGAGAAGACCCCATCTTCGGAAACACCCATATGAACCTCGAAGCTTTGGGGCTTCTCATCCCCCAACCCTGAGCCCTAAACCCTAAACCCTAAACCCTAAACCCTAAACCCTAAACCCTAAACCCTAAACCCTAAACCCGCCAGTTTGGCGTTCGTACGTCCACAAGATGTTTTGACTTAGCAATCTGGGTGGCTTAAGATACAACTACATGGCGGCAGCCCTGCGGTATCCTTGTCCCTTTTTTGTCAAGCTCGTGTGCAAAATCGAAGAAGGGCCACACGGCCTGGCTAGTGTTTAGGGTGTAGGGCTGGGGGGGCTGCGCTGGCCTAGGCTTTCGCTTGTAGGGTTTGCCCTAAACCCGAAACCCTAAACCCGAAACCCTAAACCCTAAACCCTATTCCTAAACCCTAAACCCTAATCCCTAAACCCTAAACCCTAAACCTCGCTTCCAGGCTTACACGATGGAGACCGGGTCAATCCCGGAAGGTCGTGGTCATTTCGCATCAGTGGGCTGGGCTTCACCACCCAGATCCGGAGTTTTGGGTGCTGATAAGTTAGGGTTTAGGGTTTCGGGTTTAGGGTTTAGGGTAAATGTTTTTTTGGCACTACAAAGGCCCTCAAAGCGCCCACGTGAACCCTTTTGAGAGAGCCTCAGCCAGTAAGGAGTTCAAGCAGTTCAGCGTCCTGCAGAATGCACTGCTGAACCTTGCTTCCGGCAAGGCGCACATGCAAATGGACTCGGTGTCGGCCATCAATGGCTTCCACCTGTCCATGCCCAGCCAGCAGGAGCAACTGGCCTGTCTGGAGTGGGACTTCTGGTATGATTACTTCGGCTGCCCTCAGATGACTGGGACTGGAACTGCCTCACAGCAGAAGCTGCCTGACATACAGGCCGTCGTGAACTCCATTCCCGCATACTGTGGCATTGCAGATTTTACTCTGGTGCTGGCTCCTGCCATCAAGCACACAGACAGCGGTACTACCATCAGCCAGCGCACGTGGAGTCTTGCTTGTGCCTAGAGAGTGATATAGGGTGGGGCCCCCTTACTATACTAACTGTAGTTAAGGGACTTATAACCTAACTTAGGGTCCTTATAACCCAATTTAGGGCCCTTATAACTCTACTTATAACTAGGGGGCCCCACCCTGTATATGGGTAGGGCAGGTAGGGCTAGTTTATAGGCAAGGGCTTCATACCAACAGGTTTCAGCCTAACTGAGATGCAAGGTGCGCATCCACCATGATTCCAGCACCACAGAAAGGGAAGGAACCAAGAATATGCCCTAAAGCCGACTAAGTCCCTCGAAGCCAAAAAGAGCGCCCAATGTTTCCTAAGTTTCTCCTGGTCTAGTAATCCAGGTTCGCATCATCCCGTCGAATCAGTAAAGACCTGAGCCCTAAACCCCAAGCCCTGAACAGAAGACCAGGAGCAACCGTGGATGGTGCAGGCTTGAGAGGTGCGCCACAAAGTTTTCAGGAAACGATAAGAGCTCCCTGTCTGCGATGGAAGGTTTAGGGTTGAGGGTTTAGGGCTTAGTGTTTAGGATTCTGGTCGCTGTTTTTGGCTGCGGCTTCATGGGTCTAAGGGAACTTATACCGTCCCTTATTGTGGCCCCATACCTTCTGTACAGGATTCTGAAGTAGGGCCCTTGGGTTGTATACGGTATAGAAGGGATATAGAAGAGTTCCCCAATCAAGGGCTCATATTATGGGACCATGAAGCTACCCTAGGGTTAGGGTTTAGGGTTTAGGGGCGAAAAGGAATCCTGAAGGGGTTTATGGTCCATGTACCTTGAGCGTTATCACTTCGTGGCATGAGGATGGGTTAATCTCATCTGGTCCCCAAGATTAGGACCGACCCTAAACCATAAATCCTAATCCTCAAACCCTAACCCCTAAACCCTTAACCCTTAACCCTAAACCCTAAACCCTAAGCCCTAAGCCCTGAGCCCTAAGCCCAAAGCCCTAAACCTGAACCCAGGCCTTGTGGTGGTGTCGGCGCCATCGAGGATCTTGGTGACAGCCGGGCCTGACTGGATCAAAGCTTGGCCAGCTGAAGGCACAGTTTAGGGTTTAGGGTTTAGGGTTTAGGGTTTAGGGTTTAGGGTTTAGGGTTTTGTCTTGCGGGTTAGGAGTCGCGAGATTTTTTCACTTGGGGGGGTTGGGTTTGAGGGTTCGGGGCTATATAGCTCCTACGCTAACCCCAAAGCCTAAACCCCAAACCCCAAACCCCAAACCCCAAACCCCAAACCCCAAACCCCAAACCCTAAACCCTAAACCCTAAACCCTAAACCCTAAACTCTACCTGGTCATGAGGGGGGTGGTGATCTCAGTTGCTTCCGCCACAAGCGGGTTGAAGGCATCTTCTCCTTGGAGGAAGACCGTGAGGTTGTGCGGGCGGTCACGGGGCAACTGATGCTCGGCAGGTTTTTTGGGCCATTTTGTGCTTTGTCCCCTTATGCCCTAAACCCTAAACCCTAAACCCTGGTTTTTGGAACGTTTTTGTATTTTCCCTTATTGGGTTTAAGAGGATCATCTGATACTAGGTAGGCCCTTGGGACATTTTTTTCCCCCCTTCTTGGGTCCGAGAAGACAATCTTGAGGAACATCTTGCCCTTATCGGGGTTTAAGAGGATGATAGCGAGGAGTTCTTTTTTCCTCAGAGGGTCTTATAAGGGCCATCCTAGCTTTGTGGTGCTATTACTGTAACTTTAGATCCTTAGCCTTTTTGGGTTTCTTGGGCTTCTGAAGAAAGGCAGCTAACAATTTCATCTATAACTACCCTCCTAAGTGCAGCCAAGCCTAGGATAGACATGAAGTGCCAGAGCTTGTGGGAGCAGGGAGAGAAGGAGAAGTGGCGTTTCTACACAGCCCTGATGCTTTGTTGCTGAGTGAGTACACTTTACACTTTTTGGGATACTAGGGTTTAGGGTGTAGGGTTTAGGGTTTAGGGCTTAGAGGTTTAGGGTAATAGAATCCCCTATAGAACTGAAAGGTACACTTTTTTGAGGCTTAGGAACTCAGTCAGCAACTAAGGATGCCAAAGGCGCGGGGTTTCCAAGGCTGCCAGTTCGGCGAAGATGTGTCCGAGTTCTTGAATAGATGCTTGGTCGCAGGGTTTTAGGGTTTAGGGTTTAGGGTTTAGGGTTTAGCAGTGGTACCCAATACCTCTTTTTTTGGGCTTATGGGTCCCCTTATCAAGTAACCAACCCAAAAAAGGGTGCCCTTATAATATGGTTACCGGGCTACCAAGGATATCAGCTGGACACACCAAGCTGTGGTTGGACAGACCACACCTTGACCCCACTCATCTTAGCAAGCGTCGAGGGGAATCTGGACGTCATGGCTACTTAGTATCTGAAGGAGTACATTTTACATTTTTTGGGATACTATCATCCCCTATAGAACTCAGAGTGTACTCCTAAACCCTAAACCCTAAACCCTAAACCCTAAACCCTAATCCCTAATCCCTAATCCCTAAACCTACATGTTGGGGGGGGGGGGGGGGGGCTTATGAGCTCAGCAACTAAGGTTCAGCTCCTAGAACAGAATGCCGACGTCAATCAAGCCATTCCCTGGCACATGCCGGAAGCTCCTTACTTAGCCAATAGCTGAACTTTAAACTTTTGGTTGTAGGGTTTAGGGTTTAGGGTTTAGGGTTTAGGGTTTAGGGTTTAGGGTTTAGTGTTTAGGATTGTTTTGTCTTTTTTCCCCGTGGCTGTTGGCGAAGTCAGGCTCACATCAATGGCCGCCACACGGCTCTGTCCATGGCAGCCATGCTGTCCACGCCCGAGGCCGTAAAGACACTCCTGTCCCTAAATCCCCCTTGGGAACGTTTTTTCTTTTTTTCAAAGATTTTTTCTATTTTGTTTATACAAAACCCAAGAGAATACCCTAAACCCTAAACCCTGAACCCTAAACCCTAAACCCTAAACCCTCCTATCTATTAAGGTTCTAAGGGAAGAGTAGAGGTCCTGGGGTGCCTCCATGGAGCGCGTCAAGAACATGAACAACTCCTCGCTCCTGTCAATCGCCGGCTACTTTGGCAACGCCCTCACCATGAAGGTGCTCCTGGCGCACAAGGCCCCCTGGGGGGTAGGTTTAGGGGGGGGGGGGGGATCCCTAAACCCGAAACCCTAAACCCTAAACCCCTGCAAGGCCAACATGGATGTCCTGGATGACGAAGGCAGCAACCCCCTCCACGTGGGGGCGTTTTCGCCCAATCCGTGGGTTACCGAGGTCTTGCTGAATTATGGCGTGAATCCCAACGCGTACCTCAGCAGGGTTTAGGGTTTAGGGCTTAGGGCTTAGGGCTTAGGGCTTAGGGCTTAGGGCTTAGGGCTAGGGCTTAGGGCTTAGGGCTTAGGGCTTAGGGCTTAGGGCTTAGGGCTTAGGGCTTAGGGCTTAGGGCTTAGGGCTTAGGGCTTAGGGCTTAGGGTTTAGCTTACAGGGCTTACGGCGCTAAGCTTCAGGCTTCAGGGGGCTTAAGTGCGGGCCCCATGAATTGAGGGCGTACTGGGTCTACGCGTCGTAGACGTTGAGCCCTGAAGGCCCGAAACGCAGCGTGAAGTGCTCAAGCCTAAAACATTTGTTTAACAGCTTTCGGATTCCCGCATCCAACCCCTCCGGAAAACAGAGAGGCTCTTGAAGGCAATTTGAGGTTCCGCGCTCTTGAATATTACAAGATTACATGAAGAGTTGGAAGGGCGCAGGCACGTTTTCCCGGATGATGAGGAGGAGAACTTCATTAGAGAGAGCTGCGCATGCATTAGGGTTTAGGGTTTAGGGTTTAGGGTTTCGGTGTTTAGGGGTTTAGGGGTTTAGGGGTTTAGGGGTTTAGGGAACTCCCTGAACCCTGTGAATGTTCTGAGCATTCCAAGCAGGGTTTTAACCTTGGATACCAGCTCCACGTGGCTCCACCCCAGTCCCCGAACCCCACCGCAAAATCCCACACACACACACACACACACACACATGTATCTCAGGCTCGTGGTAACTACCGATAGGCCTCACCACCCCCGGCCCGCCCTCCTCCTCAACCCCACTCTAAACCCTAAACCCCTTAAGGGATCCTGGTGGGATGCCCACAAAACCTTCTGGAGGGTTTAGGGTTTAGGGTTTAGGGTTTAGGGTTTAGGGTTTAGGGAGCTTGGGCCCATAAAGTGGTCCCGAGGTTCTGCTACATCGGAGCCACGCCCCTAGCAATGACCAGCATCTGCAACGCCGACCCGAGCCACGCAGAGCGGATGCTCAAGGTGCTGGCGGAAGAGGGGTTTCGGGTTAGGGCTTAGGGCTTACTGTTTAGGCTTAGGGTGTAGGGCTGAGGGTTTAGGCTTAAGCGAGTAGAATGCGGGTACTCGGAGTTCAGGGTTTTTAGGGCATATCAAGTTGCCCTACGGCCTGAAACTTACACCCCGTATAACTCGGCAAGACTCCCAGTTTAGGGTTTAGCTTTCAACCCTATACCGAAGAACCCTAATTTCTAAACTCCAGAGCCCCAACCCAAAATCCTGCAACCAGCAACCTGAACCTTAAATGACAAAGTTCCATCTGCTTAAGCCGCACCTGCCCTCTCATAGGGTGCCTGCACCCAGAACACACCACCCTAAACCCTAAAGCCCTGAAAAACCCTCGAACCCCAAGCCCTTCATTGGGTGGTTGGAACGTGGTCGAGCGCCACCCCTCTTAGCCAAGGGTAGTTTCATGGGCCGTTAATACGGTCCCTTGCCTCCTTTCAAGGGTTCTGAAGTATGGGTGTTTGGGTTGTAGAGGTTATCTAAGGGCTATACAAGGGGTCCCCTTTCAAGGGCGCATACTAAGGGACCATGTAACTACCCCAAACCGTAAACCCTACACCCTAAACCCTAAGCCCTACACCCTAAACCCTAACCCGAAACCCTAAACCCTACGCCCGAAACCCTAAACCCTAAACCCTAAGCCCTAAACCCTACACCCTAAACCCTAAACCCTAAACCCTAAACCCTAAACCCTAAACCCTAAACCCTAAACCCTAAACCTGCCCTAAGACCTTAGGGTTGAGCCGAAGGCCTCCAGACCACTGGCGCGGTCTGCTTTATCTGCAATACGCACCCCTGTCGATCCTCATCGGGTTTATATAGGGCCATCAGGGCTGAGAGTCTAGGGTCCCTAAACCCTAAACCCTAAACCCTAAGCCCTAAACCCTAAACCCTAAACACCCCCTAATCCTAAACCCTCAGCCCTAAAGGGGCTTACAGCGACAGGCAAAGGCCGATCCCAATTTGGCGGGGCCACCTGTTGGCTGCGCCTTGGTGCCAGGGTTTAGGGTTTAGGGTTTACGGGTTTGGGGTTTAGGGTTTAGGGTTTTAGGGTTTAGGGTTTGCGGTTTAGGGTTTAGGGTTTGGGGTGTATGCAAGCAGTTACTCCGACGGTCTCGAAACATCCACGTGGAGACTAAATTACACACACATGAAGCAGGGTTTGTTTTTCTATCATTGGCGAGTGTAGACAAGGTTCCTTTTTTAATAGCGTGAGTTCCCATATTGGATGTCCTTTGGAAAAAAAGCAAGGAATATAAACGGTACTCCATATTAAATATGAGCCGTGGAAGTCGACCCTAAACCCGAAACCCTAAACCCTAATCAGTGCTGGAAATGGAAAGCCTGCACACGTATGAGCCCTAAAAATACACCCGAAACCCTAAACCCTATCAGTCCTGGAAGTGGAGATCCTGCACAAATGTGAGCCCTAAAGATACACCCGAAAGCCTAAACCCTAATCAGTCCTGGAAATGCAAATGGTGGCTTCCGAACATAAGGGTACCTTATTGGAGTCCTTCTTATCAGGGAACCCTACTATTTGGGGTCTTTTGTAGGTTCCTTATTTTCGTGAACCCCCTGAATTATTATCAAGGGACTAAGAGAGGGCCTTGATAAGGGACCTTAGGGATTTCTTAGGGCCTTTTTTTGGTACATAGGGGCTATGACAGGTCCCAGATAGATGCCCTAAACCCTAAACCCTAAACCCGAAACCCGAAAACGTGCAGAAGCCGAACCGGTTTTGACGACACAGCAAAAGTTACACTGCCGGCCTCTGCCACCTCGAACTTACATCCTGTAGCCCTGCAACCTGCAACCCTTATCATCCTAGAGGGTTTAGGGTTTAGGGTTTGGGGTTTCGGGTTTAGGGCTAAGGGTTTAGGGCTTGAGTTTAGGGCCCCAAACACTTGCACCCTGAGCCTGCTTGACTGGGAATTTTGCTGAGGCCTGCGCACCATGCTCAGTTGGGCCAGCAGGAAGAAACTCGCCATGGGTGGCCCGGCTGCAGTCTGAAGGGGTATAAGGACGGACCCGTAGAATGGACCCTTAATTGTAGACCTTATAAAGGTTTAGGGTTTAGGGTTTAGGGTTTAGGGTTTAGGGTTTAGGGTTTAGGGTTTAGGGTTTAGGGCTCCTATATTCCTAAGTAGCCCCTAAATAACTCCCAAATAACCCCTAAGGTCCCTTATAAGGGTCCTTTACAAGGGTCCCTCCTTTAGTCCCTTGACAGTCGTACAGGCTCATCCTGTACCAGACTGGTTTCTGGTAGGAATCAGGGGCAGGGGCAGTAGGTGCCCTATCTGATCCCTCAAATGCCTCTTTGAGGAAATATCTGGTACCCCATTTCCTATTACATCCTACATCCTATACCCTAAACCCTAAACCCTAAACCCTAAACCCTAAACCCTAAACCCTAAACCCTAAACCCTACGAAGAACCAGCAACTTGCATTCTGGGTTTTGCCTGGCGGTTCAGTTGCGGGATCTTACATTATCCCAAGTCAACGGGCATGAGGCTCTCAGATATGAAGCAGGGTTTACGTTACTGTTATTGGTGGTGTAGGGTTTAGGGTTTAGGGTTTAGGGTTTAGGGTTTAGGGTTTAGGGTTTAGGGTTTGGGGTCTAGGGTTTAGGGTTTACCAGGGTTAGGGTTTAGGGTTTATATAGGGTTCCTTGGAATTATTGTTGAGTGTTGGGTGCCCTCTTTGGGGACACTATGAAACCTTGACCCAGAACAGACGTGCACCGTGCATCAGGGAGCCTTAGGTAGCCCTTACGACTGGCACCCTTTCCCCGGCCTTAGGTAGGGTTTAGGGTTTAGGTTTAGGGTTGAGGGGTTAGGATGAGGGGTTTTGGGTTTAGGGTTTAGGGTTTTCTGGCTTCGTTTGTACATCTAAGCAACAGTACAATGGTACCCTGAATACATGGGCGGTCACCGGGCTAGGCTGCAACTCTGAACCGAAGGTGCACGCTCGTGGCAACAAGCCCCAAACGCTTTACAGTCCCTACAAAACCTGGAAATCCTGCAACTGCTCACAAATCCCAAGCCCTAAACCCTGGAAAGCCCTATGACTTAGGTAGCGCAACAGAGCTGGAGTGGAACTTGGCAGTTGCGCAGCTTGTGCCGCACATGGGTTAAGGGATTAGGGCAGGGCTCAGGGTTTGCGACTTTCAGGGTTTAGGGTGTAATTAGGGTTTGCAGTTTAGGGTTGAGGGTTCAGGGTTTATAAGGGTTTAGGGTTTGGGGTTTCGGTGTGGGGTTGTGAGTTTGGGGTTCTTGCTTTTTTGAGTGCTTGGTGGAGGTTTCAGGTCTTACTGTGTAGGGCGCGTAAGAAACGGTCCAGAGTTGAGAAGCTTTGAGCAAATGGAGGGCATGGCTTCCGCAAAGATAAGTCCTAAACCCTAAACCCTAAACCCTAAACCCTAAACCCTAAGCTCTTAGGAAACCTCCCAACATGTTGGGGCCTAGGCTCCCCCCCCCCCCCAACACCGGCGCCGAAGCCTTGACTTAGGGTTTAGGGTTTAGGGTTTAGGGTTTAGGGTCTAGGGTTTAGGGTTTAGGGTTTAGGGTTTAGGGATTAGGGATTAGGGTTGAGGTTCAGGGTTCAGGAATGAGGGTTAAGGTTTAGGGTTTAGGATTTAGGATTGAGGGTGTCGGGTTTAGGGTTTAGGGGTGACTAGCTGTCTTCTCAAATCCTACTCCGAAAGCGCTTCCCTCTAACCTGAAGCCTTGAAATTCAGCAGGCCCTGAACCCGGAACCCTTAGTCTAGTATATAGAGGCTTTAGGGTTTAGGGTTCAGGGTTTAGGGTAGACTTTGAAACCCTGAAACGCGGAAGGCCTACAGCGGCCTACATACCTTCGGTTCTTGGACTCTAGGCACCCTCGGTGGCCGGGAAAAAGCCCGAAACCCCCCCGGAAAAAATGACGCCCGAAAAAATGAAGCCTAAACCTCTGGAGCCCTAAACCCTAAACCCTAAACCCTAAACCCTAAACCCTAAACCCTAAACCCTAAACCCTAAACCCTAAACCCTAAACCCTAAACCCTAAACCTAAACCATAAACCCTAAACCCTAAACCCTAAACCCTAAACCCTAAACCCTAAACCCTAAACCCTAAACCCTAAACCCAAAACCCTAAAACCCTAAAACCCTAAAACCCTAAAACCCTAAAACCCTGAACCCTAAAACCTAAAACCCTAAACCCTAAGACCCTAAACCGCAAACCCTAAAACCTGAA